CCACAGGGCGCAGGAACTCATCCTTCCAGACTTTTGCCCCAATCCATCACACCCTCAGGAATGGAAGTGGCACCATCTTGATGTTCACAGGGTGCTTCGTCGCTATGTGACGCACACTGCATCATTCAGGAGATCAGAGGCACTCTTTGTGTCTTTCCAGCTGGCATCCATGGGACAGAAGGTGTCCTCAAACACCATTGGGCGCTGGTTGAAAGCGTGCATTGCCCTCGCATACGAATCCCAATCTCGACCGGCACCCAGGCGCATCAATCACCATTCCACCAGGAATGCGGCCACCACAGCAGCATGGGCAACGCACCCCTCAGTGGAGGACATATGTAGGGCAGCAACTTGGTCATCACCGTCGCCCTTCATCCGTCATTACAAAGTGGACATGTATGCCTCGGCAGAGGCTTCCTTTGGGCGATGGGACTTACAGAGGGTTGTAGCATCATCCACGGCCCTTGACCAGTCTGTGTCCCGCCCTTGAAACTCATTGCTTTGGCATGTCCCATGCTTGGATTCCCCTAGCAGCGCACAGGAGAACGACCGTTGACTTACCTGAACGGTCCTTCTATGCGTGCTGCGAGGGGAATCCAAACCCGCCCTCAGCTTCGGCTGGTCCAGGCACTGGCACTGTCTCAATCTCACACGGACGCATTCTGTTACGTACCTTCTTGTCTGCTGATTCCTTTGCTTCTCTTGGATCGGCTGAGCCTTCATACAAAACTGAACTATCCCAGTCAGAGGAGGTGTGGTCAATAATTACGTAACTCAGTCTCTAGGTTAATGGACAAAGTTAACCCATACTTGGATTCCCCTCGCAGCGCACATAGAAGAACCATTCAGGTAAGTCAACGGTCAATTTGTAAAACCTTCCTTCCCTCCCTCCCTTCTTTCTGTTTTCATTTCAAAGGTAATGATTTCCTGTAAATGAAATAGTTTTAAATTTGAATGCTAACAAAAGATTACCTGCAGTAATTTATTAATTAGATCTTTCCTTTAATTGTATCTTCTGTCATAGGTGCCAATGTTAATCGGGCTACAGCTAATAACGATCATACAGTGGTATCACTGGCATGCGCTGGGGGCCATCTTGCTGTCGTTGAGCTACTACTAGCTCATGGTGCCGATCCTACTCATCGTCTTAAGGTACTCCAAGTAACTCAGTTTATTATTAAACACTAGCTGTACTCAGCCACGTGTTGCTGTGGCCCAGTCTGGGTGTAGTGGGGCGGCAGGTGGGTGCTGCTGTTGGTCAGGACTTGGGGCTGCTGGGTCGTGCGAGGCTGGTTGGGGGAGACAGTGCCAGGGCTGTCGGCCTTGTGGAAGTTGTTGAGCATCTCTTCGGAGGAGCTGCGCTTGGGCTCCCCCAAGTCGGTGGGCCGAGAGAGTAAGACGTCCATGATCTTGGAGGAGAAGTCCTCCGTGTGCCACCTCACGGGACACCCAGGGGCCACCTCAGCCCTGCTGCACCTCAGGCTGACACCTCCGCCCCGTCGTAGCCGCCTTGGCGAGGCTATAACTGGCTTGCTGTGAGGGGTTGGAGAGCGCATGTGGCCGGACAGGCTGAGGAGACGCTCCGCCTCCTCTGGAGCTCCGCTAGGCTGAGCAGGGGTAGGCCGGCTTAAGGGCGGGGGAAGGCAGCCAAGGGATGGTGCAGATGGCGCCATGCCACAGACAGCAAAGGCCCGGCGGGAGGGGAGAGGGAGGCTGAAGGGCTTCAGCTCACCTTGGCGGAAATGGCCGAAGCTTGTCAGAGGAGGGGTGGAAAGGGGAAAGGGTGCGGCCGCAGCCCAGCCACACATATAAAGGGACCGTCGGGATGAAGCTGGAGAGAGGCCGAACTGTTCCAAATATACTATACTCACTAAATGAACGCTATGGTAAACAACACAGCTCAATTCCAATGCAATGTCACACGAAATAATTAAATCAAAATGAAAATAAATCA